TTGGGGGGAGAGGGCCAGGCTGCTCGGTACGCGCCAGCGGTGGTGGGTGACTGCAGTTGTGTTTCTCGCAGGCTCCAGCGTCATGTTTTACCTGGCAGCCGCCGTGTCAGATTTCTACATCCCCACCTCAGAGATGCCCGAGCACAAGATCCAGTCCTCGGAGGGACCCCTGCAGGTGAGGCACCCCTGGGCATGGCCCCCCTCCGCCGCCCCCTCCTCCCCTCCCAGCACCCTGGCTGTCCCGGCGTCCTGCCAGGGTCGTGGCTGCCTGGAGACTGGCTGTGAATAAGACCTGGGAAAGGCTGCAAAGCAACGGCTCGCTGGCTAAAAAAGCGTGCGTTTTCTCTGGGAATGGGAGGGTGCATTTCCATGGGAGCAGAATCCCATGGAAATATCCCTTTAAAGCTGTACGTGCTTACAGCGTGGAGATGAGTAGATGGTGGCTCTTGCATAGCTGAAGAATAGTTGCCACTGGAGTACCCATATTGCTTTCTTCCTGCTTAACGCTGACAACAGCCCGAAAGTGTAGCGCGTCTCACGCCCAGATCCCTTTCAGCTATGGGAGTGGGTGGATCTAGAGCTTTGTGTATAACAAATACCAAATTTGTTTCGTTTAATTAGCTTTTAACAAGTTGCTGGGCTTAATTCTTTATCCTTAGCGCAGGAGAAACGAGACCCTGCCTGATTCCCAGTGGCAGACCCAGAGGTTAAGAAGCTGGAGCACAAAGACTCCCATGCTTTGGCATATTTCTGCTTCATGTGCCTGAAAGAGTTGCTAGAAAGAAGGATTAAGATTTGATAAGCTGCCTGGATTTTGGAGAGCTGAAAACTCGAGACTTCTGCAGTTGTAATTCTTTTTTATCTTCCTCTGCTTACATTTATATTCCCGGAGTGGGTTTTAGCTCTTAAATAACAAAACGTTTATGCAGTTACTGTGGGCCTGCTTCGTCACTTCAGAACGCCCTCCTTATTTTCAATACCAGACTGATTATTTAATTTAATTTTACAGTGCATGCCAGTGACATTTTGACCTTGTTTGGTGAGATCTGACCAAATACTGCCTTGGAAAACTTTCCAGTCTAAAAATCAAGTGAAGCTGGAATTTCCCTAGCCCTGCCCCATCCATCTCTTCTTAAAATGCATCGTAATGTTTTTACTGCAACTTTTCTCTGCTGTCTTTCCCCAATGTAGATCACAATGAAGATGGTGCCAAAAATGCTGTCTCCTCTCGTCAAAGAGTGGGCCCCAGAGGCGTTTGTTATTTCCTTTAAACTGGAGACGGATCCCTTGATCTTAATCGATAAATCACGGCAGGCTCTGGAGAAATATCGTCACCAGGTGGTGGTAGCAAATATCCTGGAGTCCCGGAGAACCTCTGTTATTATCGTAACCAAAGACTCACAGACTCCATTATCTCTTTCTGATGAGGAAATAGCGCAAGGCATGGAAATAGAGGAAAAGATAGTGAGCTATCTTCAGGGCCAACATACCGCATTTATAGAGAAGAAAGTCTGAGGACCGGCTCTGAATGAAGCAAGTAAATTGTGCTAGAGAGGGAGTGGAACTGGAGCGATTCTCTCTCCCGGGTAAATAAAACAATCCCCAGTGAAACACCGGGGGGAAGGCTGCCATCCAAAACCGTGTAAGTTTTCTACAGCTTGGTACTGGTTATTGTTGCTTGCTTTGAAAAAGAAAAATACACTGAAGTGAAAACATTCCAAAGGATGATATTTGTTCTGGTGTCTAAAGAAGGAAAGGATATATTGCTTTATTTCTGTCCCATGGGCTGGGAGAACCGGGAGGTGGAGAAATGGTATATATGTCTGTATATAAAATATTTTCTTGAATCTGCCTCTTCAAAGCTTCTTTTTGAATTCTTGGACGGAAGGAATGGTGCTTGGCAGAAAACAAAATGTTCTGTTTTTATGACTGGAGTGGAGCGGCAGAGCTGGCAATCGGCTGGTACTGAAAGTGGACGGTGAAACAAGCGTGAAAAGGCTGAAGGAGAAATGAGGTAGCAGCTTTGGAGAGGGGGAGATCTGTTGCTCCGGGGGAGATCCGGTGGGCCTACGCTTCAAGAACTCTGCTCAGAAACACGGTTCAAAAAAATAGGTACTGTAGCAGTGTCCCTAAAGCAGCTGTTTCACAAAGGTTTTTCCTCCCATCGTGGGTGTTAGTAGGTTGCTGGAGGGGGATAAAGGCAAGGAGACAGGTGGCACAGAGCACAAGCGGAGGTCTCTGAGCATGGCTTTGGGGACAAGAGGCTGGAGGAGGAGTAGGCAGTGAGGGTGGGGAGGTGAGGGCGGATGGGGTAGCAGTGATCAGCCTTGGGATCTCCTCCTCTTGGGAGGAGAGCTGCTGCTTGGCTGTTTGGATGGAATTAAAATGGGAGCCAGTCCGAACTAGGACATTCCTGGTTTTCTCTAAAGGATTACCGACTTCTAAGCATATATTCCTCATGCTTACAAGAAGCGAAGCGTGCAGTTCTGCGGTAAAAAAACTTAACAGCAGCTCTACTGCTGTCCATTGTCTGTCTATTTACATGCTTTCCTTGAAATAAATTCACTGGGGGTCTGTAAAGAAAGTTAACGCACAAGAATGCAGTTCCTGCACTGAAGCCTCTCCAGAGGTGAGACTGTGCTCTGTTTAAAACCCCCGAGCGTTCAAGAAGGTGGCTTTTGTAATGGCACGGATCACCTGAAAATTGGGCGTGCTCATAAAATGAGGGTAAGAAACCCAGAAGAGCAAGAAAAGAATGTGAGGATGGGCTCAAGCGGGGAGCGTTGAACGCTAAAGGACTGTTACGGTGTGCGGGGAGGGTATGTTTAGTGATGGGAGAAACAGTCCAGACTAGTCAGGAGTGCTGAGATCCGGCTAGTAACCGAGTCAGGAGAAGGAACTGACAATTTCTCCACAGCCGGGACTGATACTCGCAGAATGCGGAGAGAGAACTGAGGAGGAGACCGTCCGTGGATGTGGGACGTGCCTGTCGGGAGACGTGCAAATAGGGAAGGAGAAGGTGGTGGAATGTCCTGCACACGTGTTGTATGCGCTCACGAGCTCCGAGAGCTGCCTGTCTTCGTCTTCCAGTACGTAATCGATGTGAACGTCGAGCCCTGCTAGTTTAGGGGTCTCCGTTGTCTTGCACTTAGAAGCAGGGGTGGGCCGGCAAAGACGAGAATGTAAAAACTTGTGTGAACTGAACGTGCCCTTGCAGGACTGTTAGAACAAGGGGTGGGAGAAGTGCAACAAACGCTGTCTTTGGAGTGTTCCGGCCTTTCTCTGGAAGGCGATTGTGAAGGAGAGAAATAATCTCAAGTTTTTGAGGAGAAAACTCGGGCGTCCCCTCTCTCGGACCCTGCAGGAGTCCCAAGGGGCTGTGCCGTTCGGCTCGGGAACACAGCTGCGGACTTCCCTGCGGAACGTCTGCTCCTCCTGCTTCAGGAGGGTGGTCAGGCCCAGGTTGGGGAGACTTTCAAAACTCTGAGCCACAGCCGTCCCCATCCAGCGTCGGTGATGGTCCTGTTTTGAGCGGGAGGTTGAACTAAGACCTCCAGAGCTCCCATCCCACCAACGCCTCTAGCGCTGGCAGCGTTTGGGCACCGGCACTTCTCTTTCGGGGATGCCGGTTGTGGTACCATAAGTAGGAAGCGGCTCCTGCAGGTCCAGGACCGTCTGTACTTCGCTTTCTGAGGATCCCAGACTCTGCTCAGTCGAAGGTCCTCGATGCGCGCTGCAGCGTCCCTCTTCTCCATGTCTTGGTCTTTTCCTTTCTCTACCATCCTCTCGCGCAGGGCCTTCAGCTGGTGAGTCAGCTCTGCAGGACGAAGCCTGCTTCGTCCCTTGCCGTTTCTCCACCTCAGCTTCGTGTACTTACTTGTTTTACCTCGAGGGAAGCCCTTCATCTCCAGCAGCTTCACTTGGGGTTTAGAGGAAAATGGGGAAAAACCTTCAGCCTGTTTTGCTTAAGTTTTTTTGCAGCTAGCGGAAGAGTTTCGGTAGATCCTTTGGTTGCGCAAGGGACTTGAAGCGCGGGCCTAACGGAGGCACAGGTGAAGGGGAGGAAGCCCTAAATGCCACTGGTTTTACGGCCGGGAGCAGGATGCTTCTCCCTCCTTGGTCACCTGAAGCAGAGGAGGGACCGTGGCTGCTCCCACTCTGAACATGAGCCGGCAGTGTGCCCAGGCGGCCAAGAAGGCCAATGGCATCCTGGCCTGTATCAGAAATAGTGTGGCCAGCAGGAGCAGGGAAGTGATCGTGCCCCTGTACTCGGCCCTGGTGAGGCCGCACCTCGAACGCTGTGTTCAGTTTTGGGCCCCTCACTACAAGAAGGAC